GTTGCTATCATGCACTTGCTACATCTTAGACTCGTTTTCCTACTTTTATGATGAGATAGCCATTCTGCTAAGATGATCTGCAACATACTAACTCAACCACTTACAGGATGGCCTAGAGGTTGGTCTTTGATAAAAAACAAACAGACAGTGAATAATATAGTTATCAATGGTTTTCACAAACTTTAATCTTCTTACCATCCTTTACTCCTTCGTTCTCATTCTAAGTGCCGTCGTGACACACTGCCGAAAGTACATACTTGGTGCATTCGACCTCATTCTAGACCTGAATTATTAGCTTTAATATCTGAAGAAGAATAACGATTGTTGTTACTTGGAGCATGTTTAATTTTTTACCAATAGAACACTGTTGAGAAAACGATTTACACATGGCTGTATTCATGTTAAGTATCAATTTTAAACAACATATGTACAGTTCAGAAGCAAACATAAAAACTTCAATATAAGTACAAGATATAGAAATAATAACAAGATACAAATGATAAAATCCCAAAATGGGATCAAATAGAGTACCAAAATATAGATCAGAAAGAGTCAGTCAGGTCATAACACAAATATATATACATGGAGGGATTTTCCAAAAACAAGGCCTTCAAAATAGATTCTACAGACTGTGCTAAGTAAAGTGCGATGGTTGGTGCGAGTTATGACTGTTTCATTGCGACAGAACACCTCTGGTTGAGAACTAATGCAAGGTGCATCCAGGTCCGCAGAAAACAAGAATTGATTACGAAAATGTGCAACGTTCTTCTTGTTGAGATTCATCAGGTAATAAATTTACAGGCTCCTAGTTAAAGTAACCTTGTCTTTAACACTAATCCAGGCCAGTACTTAAGGTGTTGAAGAAGAGAAAAAAGGAAAGAGATGATAAGAGAAGCAGAAATTATTCTTTTTTAAAGCCGAGTCATGACTTAGCAGGTACATTTTTGAAAAAACGAAGGTTTGGCTATTCAGACCTTTCTTTTTCTGTGTTAGAATACTAACCGCACATCTGCAGTTGTTCAGGTTAATGAAGACAAGTCTTTAATAAGATAAATAATGAGAAAATTCAAAAGAACTAAATTAATAATAATAACGTTGATTTGCAGAATGTTATAATGAAGTCACAATGATTTAATGCTATGTTGATATTTCGTTTGTGGTTTTTTATCGCTGTAGCTATGGAAGTCACGAGTGAGCTCTTCATGAACATCAATGTCCTAATCTTTTTGTAATAGGATTGCAGGATTTGAGTTCCCTGAGTTCGACAATAGTTGAGAAGTGTCTACAGGTAAAAATTAAGAGTGTCATCAAATATGATAATATAATGATGAGCATTTAAAAATTCAGGAAGGAGGAGGAGCATAGAAGTTTAGTGTTGATTGAGTCGAGATTGACTACTATGAATATAAATAAATTCAGGGTAAATAATACAGTTGCTCGTTATTTCGTGGTGTCGAAAGAACACGGAAATCACAACAAGAAAGATGGCGATATAAAGAGCAGTATGTAACGGAGAATGGCAGCAACACAAACAGAAAGTTGCGCGTAAGTAAGTGTATTTTAGTATAGGTAAACAAAGGGAGTACAATAAAGCAGTTATCGTTACATTTGAGTACAATAAAAAATGTTTTCTCGCAAATTGCTTTCTCTAAGTAGAAGCATCCCACTACAGAAGCATGACCTACTGTTGGTAGTAGGAGCAGTAGAATGTGCCTGTCGTTCCGTGATGTTTATTCTAGTGGTAATACGGTGCAATATATTCATGGTCTGTTAATAGTTTCTAGAATCATTTTAAATATTAGATGGACCATAAAAATGTCAGGATTATGGTTCCATCCTAGCTGTCATCATGAGAATCTTCTTCAGACAATTTCTGCTAGTATCTTGTCTATAGTATTCCTGTTTGAAAAGATAAGTGAGCAATGTTCAGTGGAGGGCCTTATACAAAATCTGAAGTATGCAAGTATAGCCTCATTTGTCCGGAAGTTCTCATTAATAAATCCCATTAGCCGTCTAGGTTTAGAGATAATCGGGGAGGCATGTTCTTGAAGTTTCAAACTTCTGGAATAATGAATACCCAGATCATGTGCTGATATGAGTGTCTGAAGGCCACATTTTTGTAGGTAGAGTGGTATTTCATGCCTACTGAAGTTCATGATACCCCATTTGCTGTGGTTAAAAGGTAGCTGTCATGTTTCGCTTTAGGTACATAAGTTGTCGAGATCACTGAGAATTCTGGATATTTTTTCGTCCAGATCCTCGAGCTTATAGCTGTATACCATCTTAAGATTATCAACACATAAGAACGATCTTCCAAATTTTATAGTTTAACATTTACCGTTTAAGTACAAAAGAAACGAGAGTAGACCAAATAAACTTCCCTAAATAACTCCACTGGTTATTAGTCTTGTTTATGAAAGCCAATCGTTGTATTTTATCATTTGTTAGCGTCCATTTAGGAATGAAACAGACCACGAATATAGTGAGTTACTGATTCCAAATGACCTATTTTAAGGAGAAGTCTTTTTTGTAGGGCCTTATCTAGAGGTTTCTAAAGTCGAAGATTAGTAATTTTTCTTGCCGTTGTTTGAACCGACAGGTTTAGGGTCAATTATAACCGATCAAGATCGAGGCTAACAGAACTAGCTATGGGTCAAATGTGCAGAAATTCAAGTACGTCATTTTTATCTGATGTTTGTGCTAATGATGTTGTTCAGAAGAAAAATGAAAGCTCCAACACCAAAATGTTCCGCTCAGAAAGCGAAACTCCAGCACAATAATTGCAAACTTTAATAAACACATTGTATTTTAAAAATGAATTATCTTATAAAGGCTGACGACTGAAAAATTAATTGTGTAAGGTCGCCCAAACCTTTTTAGCGTACGGCCTCTATTGTTTGGTGAGAGAATTGAAGAATCCGGAATAAGATCGACAGAGGTGGAAAGAATTGGTGTTGGCCACAGTTTGAAGTACAACAATATGCTTGGTGAACATATAATGTGCCTACTTAGATCCAGAGGACTATTCAATCTATATTTATATCAACTACAATTGCAAGTATCTGAAGTCTTAACAGAACCACCATGTGAAAGAGCTTAAAAACTATGGATTGTTCATGAAACATGATAGCTAATGATAATTCAGATTGTTTAGTTATTTGTATATACCCAGCTAACTAACTGGAAACAATACATAATCACAATACTGATAAAAATATGTAATAATGAACAAACGAACGGAATCATTGGTTAACATGGCTGAAATTCAACCTGGTTATTTGAGGAAATATGAGCGAAATAACATGTGCTTCTCTTTATTTAGTCTCACCGAAATACTGCTGGTAGCTACTCATCGTTTTGCATGAATCAGAAGCCTATATAAGGAATGTTGTAGGTTTCATTCAGTTCATAGAACAGAATGATTATAGGGTGAAGACATAATATAAACAAAGCCATGATAACACTTACCGTAGGACAGCCTTGAATACAATGCGTACTCAAAATAAGCATTATTCAAATACACTCATGCGGAAAATTATCTATTCACCCTAAATCTACTCGTGAGTTATTAGAAATACTTCAAGGCCTAAGTTTAAATTTCTAATATCGTTTTATCCCACCTATCTGTCTGTTTTCCTATCTGCAAGAGGGGAGTTTATAATCTCGCAATAAATTTACAGTCTTCTCCTTAGGATAAGAAAGTTGCGGCTACGACTTGTGAGTTCAGTTAGAATATAGCACATTATTCAGTGACCCGATTTGAGGCTTCACTGGTCGTATTTTGAGAGGATTGCCTGGTAGTTGTGTTGCGTTTATTGAAATCTCATGTATAACATGGGGTTTCACGTTCATTCCGTCCGATCGTGCATTTAACGTTAAACGAAATGCAAGCAGAAATAGTCGCGGTACTGTATTAGAAGATGCTGTGAGAGGCGAAGATGGGGGACCGGCATACGGTGACTATTGAAAATATGAACAATGATTACCACATATTTCCAGTAGAGAAGAATATCCTCATTTAGTGACGGTGAAGATAAAAAAAGGAAATATTGGTACTTAGTAGATTCGTATATGAACTGTGTGAGATAGTAGAAACGGATCAACTCAATCTTAACGATTTTAATAAGTGTCACAACACATGAGATCCACAAACACACAAAGTGGCGGACTTTCAGCGCATTTAATTGAAAGAAACGACAGTCTGTATCCTTACTTAGAAAAAGAAGACCCGTTGTATTAGTAGAAGTAGACCTACTATTGTTTATTGGACAAGCACCTACACCTGAACAGCTGATGTAAGAAAATAAATTATATGTGTACAAGCTTCATGACGTGTATGTGTTGCACAGATTTTAGACTGATAAACAGAAATACGGTTAGCTCAACACCACACTCTAAAATGAGGAAACTTAATTTTACCTCTATCGCTTCACCTTGTAACTTCTGTGTGGGTACACTATTTTTCCTAAACATTGTGAATTGTATATGCTCCCTGTTTCAGAATCACTTACGGCAAGTACTGAACTGTATTTGTTGTTTAATAGCCGTACATGTGCTTCTGAAAAATCATTCTTTATCAAAACTCACTTTGGTTCCTTCTTCCTTCCTGCTTCTTAAGTAAACTGGCTTGTTCTATGCTGTAGTTGAAAAGGAATATCTATGCAAGGCATGTTATCACTGTTCAAAAGTGTAAAAAGGTTCAACAATGGCTTTTGATCTAAGCACTCAGTTCAATATCATGTAAGCGCCTCTTCGTAATTAACCATCAAAGGCAATAGTAGCAAAGTAACTTCAATGAAGTGTTATTGTATTATTTATTTATACATGGAGGCACAACCATAAAAAGTTATTGCAAGTTTACCACACATAAAAATCCTGTTCGGGCGTTAGTTAATATGATTTCAGAACATGTATGAATTACATAGTACTCATGTAATTATCTTTCATGTTCGATTACTGGTTTTGTTTAAGTTCTTCAAGTAGTTCATACTGCTAACCATTGCACGTTTCAAAAATTTTATTGCCCCCGAATTTAAGGTAAGCTTTTTGGTCCATTAGCCGTACTTTTTATTTATAAAAATCGAGTACACCGTTTTTATCTATTGCACTTAATATAGAAATGTACTGACTTCGATAATAAGATGGTTATTTTGATGCTGAAAACCCCTACCACATTGGTTGATCAAAATGTGAAATTACTGGTTAGACAAATACATTTGAAGCTTTAAAATTACCGCATCTTGAGATACGTACAGTGAGTCTGGATGAGAAGATTTAGATTTGTCACTATTAAGGATATCTGGGGAACATGTAACACTATTTCTTTTTAAAATTATTCTGCCTCTTATAATGCCACTTACTATTATATCAGAAAATAGTTCTCTGAACTTAGTTTGTATAAAATAAGGCCTGAAAATTATACCCTTGTTTGTCCTCAAATTTCACTTTGAACCCTTACTTTCTTTATCTAGGAGCCACTGTCTTGAGTTATTTCAAATGTACATCTTTGCAACCTCATTCAGTGTATTTACAGTTCTACGAAGTAAAAACTGTACGTGAGTTTAGTGTAATTTTCCTGATGATTATTTTTTTAAAACGTGAAATGCCTTTGAGTATTTCAATCATACAATATCTTCACGAGCTGGTACAAACCAACAGATTTTTTTGAGCTCGCTTCTTGTTCTTTCAGGGTAGTTCCAGGTGTTCGGCCATATTTAGCCCCTAAACTGCACTATTTCTAGTCTGTTAACGGATATTTACTAATCCTCATGTTCTGCGGTATGATTAATTGCGTTTGCCTCATTATCCAATATATTTTCACAAGTTAATATAAACCGAATCGCTTTTCTACGCTCGATTCTCGTTCTCTCGACATGGTGCTAGGTATTCGGCAGTGTCAAGTGGACAGTAATCTAGCCACTCAACTGAGCTAGTTCTAGTCAACTGGCAGTTATTTGTGAGTTTTTATGTCCCGTGATTTCACTGAAAACGTTTGTTTCAATGCAGTAGGCTTTCAGGATACCAGCAGCTGTCACATTACCAGGCCGGAGATCACATAGTTGCAGTGTAGAGAATAATAGGGAGAAAATTATAATGCTAATAAGAAGATTTCAGAACTAAGTTCACTTAATTGGTAATGAAGAGTGTGCGAAGGCACAAGACTGTTAGAAAAGAAGAGGAAACAGAGATAATAAGCCAGACATATTAAGTTAGTGATCTGACGAAATGGCAATAATAACAATAACAAGTCTCAAGAAATGCATCAATCTCAGCTGGTCCTAGTTGGAGATGATAGACCATATTTGAATACGTGATTATCAAGTCTCTTCTTAAAGCTGTTCACTGAAGAAAGTGTGGTCATCTCGACCGGTAAAGCATTCAAAGTGGACACGACTCTTAATGAGAAGTGTGAACGAACCTAAGTGTTCGCTCTTTGATCTTAAATGTTGAAGTCTGTCCTGGTAACTTTTATTCTTCAACCCCACCACTCATTTTGTTGCTTGTCTGTGCACTCGATCGAGGAAATTTATGTCTCTTTTAAAGAGACAGGGTGTGACGACATCGCAAATCTCCAGGTGTGGTTGTGCGCATATCTTGCACAACGTTAAGAATATTTTTGGGATGAAAGCACCAAGTTGTCTTCTCATAAAGTGAAGAGTTACATTAGCGTTGGCTGTAATCCCTATATAGTTGAAGCTGGTGTTAAGGGTTCCAATGGTTATTAGACTGAGATCACTCTCTGATAAGACATTTGATGCGGACTTACATTGAGAACGTAAGCTTTGCGTCACTCGTTGAGAAGAATGTCTTTTACGTGATGTTTCAACTAATTCAGTTTTAACCTGTGTTTTACTATCTATCACTCAACGGATATAAGGTCCTTTTGAAGCTCAGTTGAATTATCTTTGCTTTCTATGGACCTCCAGGTCGATGCACCGTCTGCGTAGATTGATTTTTATCTAACTAACCATTAAAGAATATCGAGGAGAGAAGTGAGCCTCCCGATGTTGAGACTCGCCAACTCGCTTGCATGTTGGTGCGAAACTTTCTATTCCCAAGGTAGTTTCTGAGCCAAGATAGGAATGGGTCAGCGAAATCGCAACCAACTTATCTTAATAGGCTTTAATACCTGAGGGCCCGGTGAATGCCTCCAACCAAGTATATTTTGCCCTTTGTGTTGCAGCAATACCAGCATGATTCTGTCACATCAGTTAGTTGGGTACCGTGTAGTGTTACAGCATTGAAATGGCTGTTAATATATACCAACTCTCCAAATGACGGTTGTCTGTGCCCTGTATCATCGGAAGCGTCAAATCTCACAAGCTAATTTTGCCATCTTCGACGTTAGTGAATAGCCACGTTTTAATTAGGATTATCATCTTCAGATCCATCTGAAAGCACATAGCCGTGATCACTCCCAGTTTAATCCTCAGTCCCCTTACAATGCTATGAAGGCTGCCTGTCTTTTCCTTCTATAGCGTTTTGATTTGGAGAGACTATGAACTTCGCATCTTGTACCGTAGGTTGTCGATAAGGGGCGACCCACATTAGTGCTTGTCTTACTTGCTGTTGTATCAATGATCACTCTTCGCGCTGTAGCATGCCCGAAGTGCTTCGGTTAGGTTTTCCTGATTTCTGAAGCTCACAACTCTTGGATGCAGAGACTTGACGGTCGAGGCAGGCGAGAGACGCTAGTTTCGATTGTTGTGTGAAAGCACATGCTACAAGACAGCAGTCGCCATTATTGCATATCATGAGTTTGAATTTCATCCAAGCGACTACCGACCAGCTTAGGCATTCCGTGAAGCACCATACCAGTTTGTTTTGGGATGTGTATCGATATTCTGGCCGTAATGACCATGGTTTGCGTTTCCTGACTCAGATTAGGGAGGACAGTTTAGCCGAAGGATTCCAAGATGTGAGGAGGATTTCTTTGGCAACCCTCGTTGACTCTAAATTCACCTCCAACGGAGAGTGTTTACTTTTAGCTACATTCTAACCCTTAAACAGACGGCATTAGTTGGCGGGGATACAGTTCATTATAGACATTGCACAGTGTCTATCGCACTGTTCTTTATCAAGGATAGTCCTACTCCCCAGAAAGCATCCCTCTGATACTGGAACATAACATGAAACTAGTGAATTTTGTCTAACGACCCTGTCTATGTTTTGTAGCGTTTTGGCAGCTATAGTGTCTCCTTTTCCGAAGCTAATCCCGTGATCGGTACCGTTCACAGATTTCAAGATGTTCACACCGAACAGGGGTTTTTTCACTGTATTAAATCAGGTTGTTACATATTTAGTGAGTCAGTCGTTGAGCGAACTCAGTACACCGATGGGGTTCAATAGGTCTATTTTTCATGGGACTCTTTCCTTCACTGTTGTTGATTTTGCCAGCTTATTGATTCTATTCTTTCGACAAACGTTCTAGAACTAGAGACTGGTGGTCCTTAACATGAGTCCATATTACATTCTAGTTACTTCAGTATTACTAATGCCGTGAACTCATCTACTGCAGAGGTTTCATTCAAATGTACAGCTGATGGTTTTCACTGTTGACGGGCTATTGTGTCGCTGTTGTGTCTTTTCTGAACAGAAGGCTGTGTCGTTGGGGTTTTTGGACATCGTTTCGCTCCAATTAATTTTCTGCCTACTAGTCTTACTGGGAGTAAGAATCCGGACGACAGTGTCATCTTGACTGAGTAGTTGTAGACGTGGTTAGTGTGTTTGGTTAGAGTTACCACTGTTTTACGCACTACTACATATCGCTTTCAGCTATTTCATAATCGTGTTGCAAGAACCTGGGATTTTCGACTCACTACTAACCCTAGTATATATAGTGTGGGGACTGGTGACAACGTTAATACTGTACAAGTTACTGAACAGACTACAGACTGGATTGCCAGATATTTTGAAGAGGAAAATACTCAGGATATAATCGGTGAGGGAGGAAAGTAATGATACTAAATTAGTGAATATATACTGCTGATGAGTAGAACCCTAACACACCCGAGATTCCAACGTTATTTTTGACCGTCGTACCAAGAAACCTCACTTGTATACAGCCCCTTTTTCTACAAATCCTGTGTTTGTGATTGAACGAAAGTGTGTATGCTACTGTCTGAAGGAATTAAGAAGGGATCAGTTGATCAAAACAGCTAGATACCACACTGTGGTTCCACCTCGATATGATTAAATTTATCTGATTTGTTATTTTGACTGTCTATCAATGAGAGGAGACAAAGTTTCGATCTTCGGGAATGTTTAAATGTCCCCATTCGGTATCGGAAACTGGATTGTTTTATGATATTTGTAAGAGGTCAATGAAGAAATTTCAATTTAAGAAAGCATACTGAAATGAATTACTTGAGCAAAGACTTACAGTCTTTAGTATCACTGTAAAAAAACTGAGTTTTATTATGAAATGGTTTTATAATGGTTATCTATACTTTATAAGATGGTGCAGGAAACTATCATTCATAAGGTGACTAGATGACGGCTATATTACAGTCTACTCAGTGTGCAAAAGAATGATATTTGGTTCTAAACCCTTCCTAGTTCGACCAGCAATAAATTGCTTTCAGGGCTTTCATATAGTAGGTGACGATTTTATGAAAATAACTCATTCTTCGCAGAAATTTTTCATATGTAACTTCATGTAAGTGTAGCACCCTCATCCCGAAATGAGTTTTCATGTATTTCAGTTTTCTAAGTCCTTCCGTAAACCCATTTAACAGGCAGGCGGCATCATTTTTCATAGCTAATTTGTATGTATTTTTACGTTTATACTCTTAGCTTGTATGAGCAAGTATAATTATAATCATACCTTACACCCCAAGAATATAAACCCGTCCTACTCGCTTGAATGTTGGTCACTTTAAACTCTTGTTGACTCATTTGGATGCTCTTATATATGTGTTTGTTAAGTCCCATTAACCTCACGTCACTTGTCTAAATTGTCGACTTTTGATGGTTTGATTAGTGTTGTACTCAAATAAATTGTCGTGACGTCCTAATATGGCCTAGTGAAGACAGTCCGAAAATAAAGGTAGTAGTCGGATCTGCTATAAACAGTTTTCAAACACTTTTAACCCAAAAATATTTCGGTTTTATTTCCAAATAGTTTTATATAATTGGGTCAAGGTAACCGAAAATTCGTGTGTTGTAGAATGCTTTGTAATTACAAATTTTCCCATGAGGCTTTGCGTGGTCAGACAGAAATATGTCAGTAACTCCAAAAGTCTTTCAACACAAAGATATGGAAAAAGAAAGTGCTATTATTCTTTGAAGAGATCTTATCATTCATGATTTTCTTATATGTTGAAATTTTACTGACAACATTTAACTTAAGTCAAGTTTAACATACCGTAACCAGATGCTTTATTTACAGCCGGTTGCTTTTACTGACTTCTTAATCATGAGGTAAAGTGCTGTAGTGATAAATATTTTATGATCTATCAGCTCTATAATGTTCATTTTCACGAAATCAAAAGGAGAGAGCACTACTTCTTGAAGTATATTTTTACGACGGCTTCATTTTCTTATCCTATTCCGTTCTTTAAAATGTTTCAGCTTCAGTATGTTGTTTAAGTAGACATGGGGAGATGAAATATGTACTAGCGTTGCTAAAGAAACTACGCGACTCCTATAAGTTGACCCTAAAAACAGTTTTGTAACTTTTGTTGTGTGGAAAACGAGGAAATAACTATTCGATTATTGTCAGGGTTACTGACAGGTTTTAATCGAGTTAGGTCAATTAAAAATAGATGCTCCACATAAAATTTATGTTATCACGATTAAAGAAAACACTTTCAATTTCCTCATCGTCTAAAATCTATGTGAAAAATCAAAAATAATTATTTCATCCTTGTACCTTCAGTTTTTGAGACATATATTGTAGATAATGTTTGAGGCGATGTAGGTTGGGCTGTGTTCATATACTTTAGTCTAGTATCAGCGATCATGTTTTTATTTGGGTTTTGAATCTATCACTGTCCATTGTGCATTTGAACTAACTGTTCGGTTAGATTCAGCACCTTTCCAAGAAACAATATTCACCAGGATCCATGAAAACAGAAAGATGAGGTATATTTTGTAATGCTTTTGTAATCGGATAGATTGTTTCACTCAAGTGATACGATTTTGTATTCTCATGCTCTTACATATGTATTTATGATATTATACGGTTTCAAAATGCTTTTACATAACTTCAATGAAAGGCTATTTAATTAACTGAAACAGTTATCTGATGTGTTTAACTAACGAATCACAAATTACTGTATCCTAATGAATAGCAAATTACAAGCTACTTTAATTTAGAAACTTGGTTGGCAACGTTTCCCTAGTATTCTATCTTTTTTTGTCATTTTGTCTTGCATTTCAGTTTTTAAATCCTATTTGACTAATTATCGTATTGAGAATGAATATTGTTGTAAGATGATTAAAAAGTGAATTCCACATTTTCTTTATCCATTATCGACATTAGACTAATTAACGTTCAATATTAACGAATCACAGATTGATTCTTTAGTTATTATTTTACTAAAAATGCTTCATTATTTCTTTTTTCTAATGTCAGATTCAGTAAATGATTATTTTATGCTTGATTTATCTTTTGCATCTAATGAGTTTTAATCGTTTAATCATAAAACATTATTATACATTATTAAAGATGTTATAAAACGATGTAATGAGACCTATGTATTCAATTTGTCACTATAATTATAATTCTGCTTGAAAATATATACTTGTAGATCTATCTGTTCGTGTATTTAATATCAAATGTATTTGATCAATAACAACAACAATAATTGTAATGTCTACACAAGATAGCCTGATCATAAGTGGACAGTTAGAAATCTATCTTCGCAATACCTGGATACCAATAAAAGCAACTTTGCAAAATGATGCTTTGATCATTGAACTGGAACATCCTCCAAGTATTTCTAACAATCATCACGGTTAGTGTATATTTATTGTTCGTAAATTTTGTATTTAACAGTTTACGAAGATATGAAAAGACATATTTGTTTGCGATATTCATCTTTTTTATCAATATCAAAATGGGAAGTTTTGCTTTAACAGGTTAACCGGTTAAATAGTGTATAATTCATCACAATGGAATACCAAAGTAAATGACTCTCGGTATCATTCTGTTCAAATAACCGAACCAAAGTTTAGTAGATTTGTTTGTCATTATTATAACAACCGGTATTTTCTGGCCAAACTGACAGTGCTCCGGTACTTTAAGCTGAGTGATTTCAAGACTTATATGAGTTTCCATGGATAACAGTTAGAATGTTCTCAATCTTTGTAAAAAAATCCGGTTGTGAATGAAACTATCTCAGAAAAAGACTTTAATATTACTCACTATCACTCTCCGACTGAAGCTGCTGCCTTGAGGTGTTAGTTAGGCTTGCCTATAGGGATGACTCCCTCGAGCAATATTGGCTGAAACACTTGTCCCTTTAGATCCTACCATGCCAGAGACGTTAAACTAAATGCAGAAACTTGGAGTCTGAGGGTGGAGTCATGCTACTGACTGTAGAGATGTGTAAGAGAAATGAAGTGTTTCCCTCAGATACCAGTTTTTTAGAAATGTCCCTCGACGTTTAGTCAGGTTGATAAGGCTAAGCCAATCTAAGGCGAGGGATTCGTCACTGAGGATGGATTAACCCTTAAGGATGGTGGTCTAGTTCTAGCACTTAGAATAGCTGAGATCTCAGCTAGAATCTCGTAACAAGATATAATCCTTTGCGACTGGTCTCAGTCGCTGATTGTCTCAGTCTTTAAGAAAATACAAAATTTCTCTTGTAGCTATCACAGAGGGATCAGTTTAGCTAATGTAGTGTCTAAAGTAATGGCTTTGATACCACTTCTACATGTAACCAAAGCTCATGAAGAGCAAACTCGGGAAAGCTATGTTGGTTTCAGACCTAAATGTAGATGTATGAACCGAATAGTCACACGTCTGCTGGTTCCTGAACGTAGAAATACTTTTTAACGTCCGACAGTAGTTGTATTCCCTGACATTACAGCGGCTTTTGGTTCTGTTGATCATAAGGTTCTGAGTTAGTGCCTGTCACTGAAAGATGAATCAAAGCAGCACATTAACCTTATACAGGCTCTCTACTCGAACACTGCTGGTCGAGTTAGAGCTTATGGAGATCAGTCCTTGGGAGTGGTAACTTCCAATGGGTGAAAAACATGACTGGTAGGAATAAGGAATATTCATGGGTTACTAGTATTCAGTCATAGATGTCTTCGAAGTATTGCTTGTCTATTCCGGGTGCACTGAATAAACAATATTTGGTTTAGGCATTGAGTATTAGGTAACAATGGAAAATCAACCGACAGAGTAGTAAATCTTCATCAACCGAGGTGGTTAAAACATGTGTTACGTATGACTAGCTACTGACTACCTCGGCCAGCGATGCTGCCTGATGTAGGCGTAGAATGGAAGAAAGCTAGGGGTCATCAAACCGAAACACAGCATAAATTCATGAAGTCATCAACAGCTGGACTGAGCCACGTTAGTAGGTGCTGATTATCTGATTAGGCTTACTAGGTTCTAGGCTGCGACTGATTGATTCGCTAACCACGACAAACACAAAATGACTAGATTTAATTTATCAATTATTATGTTGATGTTTTATTCTCAGGGTAAATATATATATTTTACAGCTGAATGAATGGGTTTTCAAGTATTTCTTAAAAAGAACTAAAAAGAAAATTCTCAACTAGAAAATAATTATCACGTTAGAAAAACCAACTCAATCATCCAATAATGTTTTATTCAGTTGAGATATTGATGTATTTCACTGCTTGATTTTAATATTACTACGAAAAAAATGTAATTTTAGATGAATTTACATCAATTAAAATAATTAATTTCTACGTTTTTTACAGATTATGTTTTAGCTTTTTTACATCCTGTTGACATTTAGTACTTAAAGCATATTCATTAGTTCTATTTATTTACACATTTTTAAACCATGAATCGATCAATATTAGACCACCATTAGAAACCTGGAAGCACTGGACGGCCGTTTCGTCCTGGTATGGGACTCCTCATCATAGCTTTCCGAATATGATACATTTGAAGTCAGATTGACGTTTAGTACAGTGCTAGTTAAAATTAAGAAGTAGTAAATAGTTGGTTGCACACCAACGACTGTAGGTTCTCATGATCTTCACTATTTGAAATTAGCATAATTCCAGTGAAATTCTAAGTTCAAATCAATTATACCATTTGAAGGTATCGTAGTAGACATGAAGTCTGTGGGTGATAGGTCTGACTTCACTTAATATTCTAAGTACTCACTCACTTCTGAGTAATCGAAATCACGTTAAATGCTTCTCAGATAATAATGATTATTTGGGCGGATATTATTACTTGACGAAACAAGTTTTTATAATGCCATCTCAGCAAGATATCATTTAGCGTGTGTAATCTATGAATTAATTAAAAAAAACGCTTTTCTTACTTAATTTAACTAACACTTTATGATTCGACTTTTTTCCAATATTCTAATTCTGTTGTATAGTAGAATAGTCATAAAATATGATGATAAAGTAAATATTTATTGATTAGGTAAGCGATAAGATAGATTGGAAGTTAGACAGATAAATAGCTAATAAATGTCGGAAAAAGCTTACAACTTTTATTAACCTTTAGAAAAACATAATTCATGTTGTTCCATATATATATATATATATATATATATATATATATATATATATATATATATATATATATATAATATTAACTGTTTGAAGTTACCTGATAAACTTTCCGTTGAATTTCTATGGTCTCATCCCAATCAATTTGGTTTGAACACATTTAAGGCTTGTCAGATTGTTTCTTTCGAATCTTTGACTTAAAGTATGTTTTTTTTCTTTTGAAACTTGAATTGATAGAATTCATGTGTGTATGAAATTTACTCTCGTGAAGTGATTTCTATAAATCCAGAGTTCATACAACTCGTCAAAAAATCTAGGTTATTGTTATATTGATGTGTAAAGTTTTAAAATTAACAATATTTCTGAATTTGATTTGTTGATAAAATGAAGTTATGTCTATGATAGATTTATAAATTGACCTTATTGAAAGCGCTCTGTGGATGTATTGAATTGTATAAAGATATTCAGAGTTCTACGTGCACTTGAATCTCTCCTATTCGGTTCTCATATTACAAATGTTGTCAGTGAGTTAACCAAGTGTAACTTTCTGATGTCTATATAAAGGTCAAGTTCATAATTCTGTGACGAAAAGCTAATTAGCGTTTTAGACGGTGACTTAGATACTTCTTTAGTGCTCACTGAGATTTCTTAACAACACGTATGGAACCTCACAGTGACACGTGTTTATTTACTCTGTCAAAATTTTTTGAAATCGAACAACACCATACTACTACATCGTTCTGATTTGATACTCATCAGTAGTAAATACTGTCAGAATAAACAGGTACATATTACTAAAATGACCAATCTACACAAATCTTGTGTTGATGAACTATGCTTAACTGTATTCAAATGTAGCCTGAAATAGAACAAATGCTCGATTTTTATCATTCTATATTCTCATAATTTGATTTTTTATACTCTAATGTACATTTTTTGTAGCCGGAGATATTTCCACTGCAAAACGTCTGGTACGTATAACAAAAGAGGAATTAAATGGCTTAGGCATCAGTATTAAAGGTGGCAGAGAAAATAAAACACCAATTTTAATCAGTAAAATATTTAAGGTAGGTATATCAAAACATTACTACTTGCTAAATGTTTTTCAGAAATTGGTGTATATTTTACTGACAAATATCATAGTAATTAATACAAATGGCAGTCGTTGTTCGCAATTCAAGTTATCTATTTGATATCTAAAACTTCGTTTAAAACAACTGTAGTTTTAACTGTAACGAACACAAAGGAACTTTACATGCACTGTCTAAAATGTACAATAATTCAACTCCATCTTAAAAAAAAAGAAATCTATTTCATACGTGTATTTTGGTAGCTGAGACTTAATTTGTTAGTTATTCAAAAAAATATAGTAAATTCTAATTTTTGCAAACATGTTTTATGTAACATTGAATGAAAAACCAAAGTTACGTCATATATAAAGAGTACTGTTTTTTCCAATACACACAGTCACGCAGCGTTGTTAATCGAGGTGTTAACTTATCAATATAGAGAGAACGTAATCAGAAATGTTTTATTTTTGAAAAAAATGTTCCCATATAAAAAAAGTAAGAAAGTAAACTTTACTTTTATTCACATAGAAAACTAGGTATTAATATCAATTCACAAGAACCAGCTTATTAATGGTCGTTCAAACTCCTTTGCAATTATTACCAACCGGTATTAGTTTGAATGACAAGTTTATAGATTAGAGTTACTACAATCTTACTAAATAATTGGTAGTTTGAAGTGTTCTCTGTAATTCTAAGTAAAAACAATAATACTGTATGTAGTTTTGAAGTCAATTTTAAATTACTCAATGCAAGATATCAAATTAACAACTAGTAATATCACAGAAACTTTAACAAGCAAAAAACAGGGAGACTGATACAGATCGAAGATATTACTATTACTAGTATTTAGTATTAGTTATCATGACAGTGAGAGCATGAAAAGAGAAAAACGTTGTGTAATGCTGATTACTTGTAACGGATTAGAAAATGAGGCAAAGTGAAGATAAATAGGGTAAATTATTTGAGAGGCCTACCAAGGTCTCAGGATTTTTATTGATAATTAAGACCGAATAAACAACCTACTTCACATTGATTTCAAGATAATAATCATTTAGTTTTGTCTGCAACTGTAAATATAGGGTTACTCAGAATAATAATAATAATAATAATAATAATAATAATAATAATAATAATAATAATGGAATTTAGTTGGCATGCTTTGTGTTCAACGGAAGTACTGGCTATTGACAGATATACACTATATACAAATTCACCGTTATTGAGAATGCTTTGAACAGAAAAACACTCATGAACCAGTTTCTAAAATTTTCTTTCAGTGCGATTAGCATTATTCAACTGCCGGTCTATCTGAGTTATCCTTAATTCTGCTGGATAAAAAGAGCTTATTTACTGAATGAACAGGAAAAAGACCGAGATTGTTTACTGACTGTTGTGTCTATTATTACTTTGCGTTTGATTGTAAAAATTGAACTATCCAAGTAAAGCCATACTGATAACCTTATAATGAGATGATCCAACGAGCTTGAACCATATATGAAATTTCATCTGCTTTGTTAACTAGGGGATCCTCTTATGTAAAGAGCAGCGAAAGTTTTCTGATAGAGATCTTAGCCTCTTTTTTAAAACAGCTGTCTTTACGCAGATCGAATTTAGCGACTGAGGCAAAATTAAAAGTCGAAAGTAACAAAGACTGATTGGTTGATTAAATTATAGGGAGTTTATCGATCGTTAACAGTTGGCTATTTGTAACCCATAAGTGTGATCACGCAACTATCTCTACGACTTCTGACTAGATTCTATTAATTGCAGTAATAATTAATGGTCACTTACAACAGATAATGTGATGAGAAATAATACAGATGACTAGAAAATTCTCGTCTTTTGTATCAGAATGTAATGCATACTAGATGATTGTTGGAATTGTTGTTATTGATTGCGTCATTAATTTTAAAAACTGGGGAAATCCCAAATAAGTTAACGAGTAAAACCTTTAAAGCCTTTTATAAATCGTTAAACTATACTGTTATTAGTATTTATAACTTTCTTGATACCTCATTTGTATATTACGACATTTTAGCCAAATAAATATTCATCGTTTCATTTTTTATTCCTTCGATTCAGGGTATGGCAGCCGAACAAACCGGTCAGTTAAATGTTGGTGATGCCATATTATCTGTGAATGGTGAAGATCTACGCAATAGTACACATGATGAGGCAGTTCGAGCGTTAAAACGTGCTGGACGAATTGTTGAATTAGAAGTGAAACATATGCACGAAGTGACACCTTATTTTCGAAGGTATTTTTCGGTAGCTATTATTCTATTGGTTTTATACCATTTTGTTTAAATTCAGTAAGGTCATTTAATATGAGTTTGGTCAAGTTGTTTTTGTTTTATTATTCATAAAGTCAGAAATGAGTTTTCTATTTTATTTATCAATGACTAAACGAAGAGGTCGGTGCTATATCTGGACTAGGAATGGAAATTTAGGCAGTTCTAAGGTATACAATATAAAACCAACTTTCGTTCACCAATATTATAATCACGTGCATACTAGTTACCTAATTTGAGATGAGTTCTTGACGTTTTTGTTCAAAATCTTGACCACTAGAGTATAGACATATTGAGAGTGAAACATTAGTTTCTAATATCTATGTCGAAATTAATTGAAGTTGAAAATGTATGAAACTGGAAGCAAAATCACGGGTCTAAAGATTATGTGTTCTCAACGAAAAGTGATGAGTTAACAGTACTGATGTGGTGCTGTGGTGCGAGCTACTTATAAGTAGTATATGACGTGGGCGTCAACGTAATGTCTGGCAGCAGAAGATGGGGAAAGATCAAGAAAGGAAGAGTTAGAACACACTGGAATTTGTATGAAACGCATGAATAGTGACAATGGATTGATGTTTTGCAACAGGAACAGTCCAGTTCGATATGAGGAACTGTTATTTTGCAAATGAACGATTTACGATATGGTTTTCCGATTTTACTGAGTAACTCTGTAATTTTCGTCAAGTACAATTCGGTTGCCCCACCTATGTTCTCGTTCACTACACTGAGAAGTTCCAAACTATTATAGTCTTCCAATGCTTTCTGGTTGAAACTGGTAACGTAATTAAGACCAGTCTGCGATGAATCAAAATTTCTGATTAGATGATAAAAGTTTTCCAATAACTTATAACAACTGTTCAAGTTTCAAGAATTTGTACGTTATCATACTGCAATTGATTTTTAGAAAAAATTATTTATTTAACTATATGCTTAAGATTAGCTAGAAAAAAAAGTAAACCTCTAATGTCAAAACTATCATTTAACTAGTTTTCGGTGGAATACAATTAGAACAAGTTGAAATTCAAAAGTCAGAAATATATTTTCTTGAAATATTACTTCTAGAATTCGACATTTTCCAATTTCGTCGTGAAGTCAATTAATACAATTTTCATGCATTATTTATTTATTTAAGAATTTTGATGCTAGCGATTTATAAAAACGAACTAAAATAAATTTCTAATCAAATAACTAATGTTGGAAAGTTAATTTTGGGAAATATCATCATAGTTTTGTGAACAGTTATTTAATTCACTTTTTGATAATGAGTTGATTTTTATTGTGAATGTGTGATTTTTTGAACGAAACCATTCATAGATGGTATTGTTCAATGAAAAGATACAGTCTATGGATTACAGAGAGTATTCATACTGAACAAAAACCAAACTAAATAATAAGTCAGTTTCATCATAGTTTTGCTTTGAATACTTCATTTGCAAAAGGTGACATGAAGTGGTTGGAACATGTATTAAGTATCCCTAACCACCCCATACATCAATGTTGTACATTGGTAGGTTGAAAAACTGCTGTCTTAGGTCAAAACAAGCCATAGAATTAGTTTGTGAAATCACTAATTGTTGAAATGAGACATGTAGGAAAGATTAGAAAACCCGACTGGAATTCTTGTAATTATCGTAACCAAGAACTAGAGGCATAAGCAAAATTTTTGTAGAATCAGTTTCAATGACTCACATCTGTTTTGCCTTAGATCTTTAGTTTTAAACCACCACATACTTTATAGTCTGTGAACTCATTCTTTCTTCTTGGATTGTATTCTTTAAGTTGAATGTTTTCTACCATCACTATTATTGTAGATTTTTCTACTGATTAGATTTATGTTGATGCATATAGTTTTATAATATAGTATAACTACTTGCTTTGATTAGCATACCTTATCATCACATTCTACGTTCCATATGGTCGATGTGTGGTATTTTTAGGTGATATATATATATATATATATATTTATTTATTTATTTATATATATATATATTTATATATATACGGCAGTGTAATTAGTTAAGTCAATCATGAACCTATTTAATTAATTGTGGAATGGATAAAAGTGAAAACTAATTTAATTAGAAGTTGATTTCAGTAAGCAAGAGACTCTGATTAATTTAATCAATCGAATCTCGCACTACTACTTTGTAGTGGTTTGTATCTCAGCTTAGACTTAATTCAGCAGTTCTAGCTAGACCTCATACCATGTTATTGCTTTAAATATTAAAAATAATAATTTAACAAATTAAACATAAAGAATAACATCTATACCTCAGAAGTGTACCTTGAAGTTGAAATACACCTAGCCGTCATCCACTATCAAAATGTCTGTGTTATTGGGGGTGTTAGTTGGCTAGTTATGTTGCTAAAAGAGTCCATCAATCACTGTGAACAGTATCATGTTACCTGACCCTTAATGTTGAGTATACTTCACTGATCAGGTTTAAAACGTGAAAAAGAACTCTTATAACTCACTTATGTTTTGAAAATATTTTCGATATTTTTCATACTGACCGGAGATAATTGCGTTATGAATTAAAATAACTGTCTAATACCTCATGAAATTAAGCTAGATAGCTGTGATGTTTTAAACGAATGTTAATCAAACCTAGTCTTAGCTGATTTTAATAAAAATATATTGAATCATAGATATATGAAGGAAGTATATTGCTTTCAATAAATTCTCTTCCATGTTTTAAAATGGTATATCCAAATTAATAGACCGAAAATGCCTGTGTTTAAAGCAAATATATAGTTTCCATTTATCAGTCAGTCAGATGCAACGTAGAACTTCGTACGTAAGTACATCAGTTCATGTTGCCATACCACATCAGCACAGAAATATAATTGTCAATTCAAATCCATTAGTAGTAGAGGTAGTAAAGGTATTAGAAGTAATCGGAGAGGTTAGGATGAGAAGATATTCAAGAAATATGATTCAGTGAGAAAAGTTTAGAAAGTCAAAACTAGAGGGATTGAAGAATCCAGAAGATTAAGGTTTGAGAGAACACAAAGAATAGATGCACCGGCGCCATCGCAAACGGTTTTGAGCCATGTCATTCAGGGTCTCTAACCATCGATTATTTTCATCTCGCGGACCCAAACCAGGTAGTCGACAGCTACCGACATGGCTCAGTCCACTTGTCAATGACTTCATGGATTTCTGCCATGTTTTGGTTTGGCCGCCCCTAGCTTTTTTCCAACCTAATGTGGGAATCCACCCGTTTTAGGTTGAGTTTACGCCCTGAAAATACAAAAATGTTGTATCTACATCACTCAATTTATGTCATCATATTCTCAAAATAAGAATCAAGTAATTAGGCCAATTGTTTGTGAATGTACAGAAGGCGTTGGATATATTTGTTCTTCACACAAAACTCTAGCTTTTTTTGACCCGAACAGCAATTTGAAAGATTCTTATCATGACAAGTTTGGGCAATTAAGACTTCGGGGCTTTATTCTCATGGTTCACTTTTTAGATCTATCCAACTTACAAAGGTTCCTAGTTATAAAAAAAATACACTTTTTCGAGTTCAGTTAATTTATAATATGATCTGTATATTATTTTACTTTAGTTTACTTTAAAAAAAGAGTTTGTTTTCATCCTCCTCACTTAACTTTTTCATCAGTTTCTAAACACAAGTTAGCAATAATAAGTTATTGTATCAGTAAACTAGCAAACAAATATATGAACGAATGAGTGAGTGTGTGAATAAATGACCTTTCATATAAAATGCAAAACACAATCATTTTATACTTCATGGTATACCACTGAAATTGAATGATAGTACACACTTCGTTTTATAGATTTATCGATCTTGAATATGGAAACAAGATTAGTATTAAATTGTTAGTGTTTATACAGTCGACATTTGATTCATCTCATTCATTATTATTCTGTAGCATAATGACCGAACAAATGAGTGAACATGCCGTGTATCTGTTGGTACTTTTATTGTTAGTCGGAATTAGTAAATGGTATAATAATAAGAAACAAACAAGTTTCTGCATCTGGTTGTAATTATTGATCATGTATAGAATGCAGAATTATATTCATTTATATGCATACATATATTTACTTTCCAACAGAGAAGTTCAATTTTGAAACCCATACATTTTTGGGGGAAATAAATTTTATTATCGTAAAAAAAAATCTCATAAATAGAAGAATTGAATCAGACAATTGACTAATCAATGATAGAACAAATAATGTATTATATAAAAATGGCAGAATCGTCAGCAGTTTAAAAATATTCCATTTGTTTTTGCAATAAATCAGTTGGAAGCCATGATGATTAAGATTATTTAGCATTTCTTATCTCATAACGAATGAATTTATTTCAATAGTCACTGTAATAAAATAATGTTCCGATTTCTTTGTTTCCACTTTTCAACAAGTTGACTAAGAAATTATAATTAATGTTACGTATAAAATATTTAAGAGGAGTGAAGAAAGCCGACACATGGAAGTAAATCCGAAAGAAACATTAATTTTTTTTCTTCTTGATTATGACAGAAGTCAGGTTGTATCTGAAACTATTTCCCTACAGCTAATACTATTAATGTACAAAGTTAATGATATTAGTCCATGTGATTAATCCGTTTTACAATTATTATGTGAAACTGTTCTATTTCCCACACTGTAACACACACACTCTATACATATTGAGTCGTGGCTTGCTTAACATTTTATGCTGGAATCATAAAAAAAAGAGATCATACATATTAAATGACTAATCAAAATGTTGATAGCCAACCGATAGTGGTTTTGTGATTTTTGTACGTTTGTTTGGTGTTGTGATTCTTATTATAATTGATGATATTTCCTCGAGAAAATTATGAAAATGCACTTGACTGTGTTATTAAATAAAAAGTAAACAGTTTTCTAGGATATGCGTTTGTAGGCTGATGCGACGAAATACTGGAAGTTTCTTTTTTATGCAAGAATTTGAATAGGTCTCATC